ATAGACTGCTCTTGTACCTGCCGTACCTATTTGGACAGGTGAGGTGGCTGAAAGTGGGATAAACAGCCTCCATGGCACATTGCCCAGGACACCTCCCTGCAGAAACTCTAGGCCTCAGTCACCCATTGCACCCAGCATGTATTCCCTGCCCAGGAGGTGCTCACCTGGCCTCTGATGGGTAACTGAAAGAACCAGGCAGCCTCTGCTGAGAGGCTAAATAGCATACCAGGTTCACTGCCCATTGAGCAGTGGAAGGTCACCTGGATGGCACAGCGTCACCAGCCCTCCTGGGCCCCACAGGGAAGCACTTCTGATTTAATTTCCCACCAGCCAGGCAGAGAAAAGGCCAGACAGACATGCAAATCAGTGACAGGCACCCATCCCTTACTGTGTCCCACTGGTTCACTCCTCTCATTGGAGTGCTTAGCTGGAAGAGGGAGAATGGCTTCCTAGGTTGCCAGCAGGCACTCAAGAGTGCAGGAGGGAAGATGCTCCTTGGAGAGGTGAGAGGATGGCAGAAGTGTTCAGGTCAAGTAGGGCACTGGGGAGCTAAGACCAGGGAAAAGTCAAGGCTGGACAGAACCCCCTGGGGGCCAGTGGAAGTGCAGACTCCAGCCCACCCTGGACCCCTCAGGATTTTGTGCTTGAGTCCCAGGAACATGCACTTCTCATTAGCCCCTGGGCACCAGAGTCTGGACCTCAATGTTTCTGAGCCAAAGATCACCACACCCCACATCTCAAGTGAGGTAGGGAGGTCTATTCTTCCCAGTCCAAGAAGAGATCCCAGAAATAACAGAGCAATAGGCAAGTATATGTAACTCACAGAGAATCAGGGAAGCGGAAGTAGTGAGGAGCCAGGATGTAATCTGCCATGATGCTCAGTGATTAGATAGACTGAATGAATTTAATGTATTAGAGAATGGAGGTAATGACTATATCCTTTGTTGGAAAGGGTGAATGTCTTTCTCTAGGTGCAAACCTGCCAATCAGTTGGTAAGAAGGGAAAGAAATAATGGAGCAACAAAAAAATTGTGACCAAACAACATTTGTATTACATGAAGCAACAATTTACATGTAATTTGCAACTACCCACTTTATTAACCAGTAAATGCTGTACAAGTGAGGGTTAATAGGACTTCCACTGAGTGTTAAGGATAGTTGACCATCAGTAGTTACCATTTACTCTGGCTCATCAGGAGCTGCAGCCAGAGCAACTTCTTCCTGAGCTCAGATTCACAGCTCCCCAGACCCCTTGCATGGCACTAGGGCCACGTGAGCTCTCGCCACGGGAATAAGAGAAGACTGCACACCACTGCCAAGCCGAGAAGGGCTCCTCTCTATCCTCCTCCAGCAGGGTGCAGATGCTCCCTGAGGATTCCAAGGTACCAGAGGGAAGGAGCCCGTATCTCCACATGACTACCAGGAGCAAAAGTCTTGCTCCCACACAGGCCTCATGGATGCAGACTTGAGCAATAGGTTTTGGCCTTCAGCCCCTGAGCTGGCTTATCACAGCAGTCAGCCTCTGTGCATACCATTCTCTAACCCCTAGTTTCAGGTGTTGGTGTGATCCTGGAGGCACCAACCAAAGGAGAAGCTCCAGGTATGCTCCAAATAACTTTGTCATCCACTAGTTCCAAATGGTTAAAAAAATCACAATACCTCCACGAGCCCCACACGGAGATCAGTCACTTTTGAACAATATACTTCATTCCTTGTTAGTGAAAGTACTGGGCTGGTCAAAATCTTTGTTCAGATTTTTCGTAGCATTTTAGGGAAAAACCCAAACGAACCTTTTGCCTAACCCAATAAAAGGGTATGAATGGGCAACGTCCTTATGTACTGATATAGAAATACCTCAGATATGTCGTGAATAAAAAAAGATAAAACAGGATATATCAGCAGTTTTCAAGGTATGATCCAATGATCTCTGAGGGGGCAAAAGACCCTTTCAGAGGATCTGCAAGGTTCTCCAACTCTCTGTCTACATGAGGCCTTATTTCCTTCTATCCTTCAATCAAAAAAACAAACAAAAAACCAGACTGAATGCATAAGCAGATAAATCCAGCTATTAAACCAGATGCTAAAATTTTTCAAATATAAAAACACTTGAAGCAACAAAGGATTAATGTCAAAAATACACAAGCAACTCCTCCAGCTCAACTCCAGAAAAATAAATGACCCAATCGAAAACTGGGCCAAAGAACTAAATAGACATTTCTCCAAGGAAGACATACAGATGGCAAAAAAACACATGAAAAGATGCTCAACATCACTCATTATCAGAGAAATGCAAATCAAAACCAAAATGAGGTACCATTACATGCCCGTCAGGATGGCTGCTATCCAAAAGTCTACAAGCAATAAATGCTGGAGAGGGTGTGGAGAAAAGGGAACCCTCTTACACTGTTGGTGGGAATGCAAATTAGTACAGCCACTATGGAAAACAGTGTGGAGATTTCTTAAAAAGCTGGAAATAGAACTGCCATATGACCCAGCAATCCCACTTCTGGGCATACACACCGAGGAAACCAGATCTGAAAGAGACACGTGCACCCCAATGTTCATCGCAGCACTGTTTATAATAGCCAGGACATGGAAGCAACCTAGATGCCCATCAGCAGACGAATGGATGAGGAAGCTGTGGTACATATACACCATGGAATATTACTCAGCCATTAAAAAGAATTCATTTGAATCAGTTCTAATGAGATGGATGAAACTGGAGCCCATTATACAGAGTGAAGTAAGCCAGAAAGATAAAGACCATTACAGTATACTAACACATATATATGGAATTTAGAAAGATGGTAACGATAACCCTATATGCAAAACAGAAAAAGAGACACAGATGTACAGAACAGACTTTTAGACTCTGTGGGAGAAGGCGAGGGTGGGATGTTCAGAGAGAACAGCATTGAAACAAGTATACTATCAAGGGTGAAACAGATCACCAGCCCAGGTTGGATGCATGAGACAAGTGTTCAGGGCTGGTGCACTGGGAAGACCCAGAGGGATGGGATGGAGAGGGAGGCGGGAGGGGGGATCGGGATGGGGAACACATGTAAATCCATGGCTGATTCAAGTCAATGTATGGCAAAAACCACTACAATATTGTAAACTAATTAGCCTCCAACTAATAAAAATAAATGGAAAAAAAAAAACACCTGGCCTCACTGATTTTGTATTGGAAAATATTTTTTATAAAGTATTTTTCAAATACAATGGGTTTACCATTTTGTAAAGTTTTTAAATTTCTCAACTTTATTTTCTAACATGGTAAATAATGATAGATATAACTCACCTTAAAGAGTTCTTGGGAGGCCTCAAAACTTTAATCCTATAGACGGATCCTGAGACTAAAAAGTCTGACTACCACTGGGGTATATACTATCTGTTTCCATTAAAAAAAAAAAAAAGCAGAAAAATAAGAATCTATCTTTGTACTAGTTTATATATGCATGAAGAAAATCTCACAAAGGATAAATAGACCAGTATGAGTGGTTAAGCAAAGCAAAGGTAGGAAATGGGCAGATAGAAGACCCTTTAGTGAATTTTTTTCATTTTGAATCTATCTATGTATGTATGTGTGTATGTATATGTATGTGTGTGTATATATATCATCTATTCAAAAACAACTAAAACATTAAAAAAAAAAAAAAGAGCCAGAGACAGCATGACAGAAGATGAGAATTAAGTCCAGCTGAAAAGTAAAACAGCTTACAAAGTCTGTGTGGAGTGTCACCCCTCTCCCATATCCAGAAATAACTGTCCCCGGGAAAAATATGAGAGAATTCTCCTCTGAAGAAATGTAACTAAGAGACTTAGAGCTTTTAGTATGAAGATTCCTCATCTTAAACTATGTCAGGCAACCACACATCACAATTTAATCAAAGTCTGCAACAGATGAGATAAACATAAAAGCCCAGAGAGAGTAGTTCAGAAATGAAAGAAAATTTTAAGTAATTTTTCAAAACAAAACAACAAAAACACAAAGTCATACCCAAAGATATCTGAAAAGTTACTGAACCCACACTGCCAAACTCAGGAAGCTAACTGTGTGCTCTCAAGAGTGTCAGCTTCATTCAGTGTAATGCAGATAAATACCTCCTTTACAGAGCTACTGGCTGGGGCATAGGCTTGGATTACGGTGATATTGAATGGTTTGTCTTGGAAACGAACAGAGATCATTCTGTCGTTTGTGAGATCACATCCAAGTACTGCATTTCTGACTCTTTGTTGACCATGATGGCTACTCCATTTCTTCTAAGGGATTCCTGCCCACAGTAGTAGATGTAATGGTCATCTGAGTTAAATTCACCCATTCCAGTCCATTTTAGTTCACTGATTCCTAGGATGTCGACATTCACTCTTGCCATCTCGTTTGACCACTTCCAATTTGCCTTGATTAATGGACCTAACATTCCAGGTTCCTATGCAAATATTGCTCTTTACAGCATCAGACCTTGCTTCTATCACCAGTCCCATCCACAACTGGGTACTGTTTTTGCTTTGGCTCCATCCCTTCATTCTTTCTGGAGTTATTTCTCCACTAGCATATTGGGCAANGGAAAAACTGGTTCAGAGGACACCACAGAATACTAGAAACAGGCAAGCAATCAGAAGAGAAAAGAAAAGATCAACCCAAGGGGAAAAGAAATGGAACTGCATTCCATGCCGGTGTCAATAAACTTGGGAAGGAGTAAAAGATCGCACAGAATCACAATTAATGTAGAAAACAAACGTGGGTCCTTCTGTACCAATGGCAGGAACTTGTCCCATGATCCAGATCTTGCATCCCAGTCCGGCCCATTTCATGAATGTTTATCTGAAACACAGTCATTCATCTCTCCCTTCTCTTTAAATCTAACCCTGAAGTTAACTCAAGAAATTAAACAAACAGAGCAAAGAAACAGCAGACTGGCATGTGTGTAATATCAACGGCCAAATATTTAAAATTACACATGGAAGTAAAATGCTGACTAAGTATTTTACTTTCGTTAAAGTGAACAAGTTCCTTCCAACACACCGAACTTCTTGATTTAGGACTACCTAATCGAGGTGACCAAAAGATTGGCATCTACGAGAACTGGAGCCAGGGGAATGAAGCATCTCAGCCCATCTTTATGCTGAGCACGCATTTCCTCTCAGGATCAAGTCACTAGGGCAGTGAACTTCCAGACTCAACTACAGTCGCCCAACGTGGCTTGCCCGGCTAGGGACAGGGACTGGAGATGGGGGAACACACGTATGTCAGGACTTCAGTCCACAGCTCCCCTACTCTGTCAGGGGGCAGAACTCAGGGAGACCATCTGCTTCAAGCGCATTTCAGGGACATAACTCAGTATCTGTCATTCCAGTAATTCCTAGTTCAAAATTAACTGAGTTTAGTATTTTGCTTGTAAAGGATACAGCTTGAATAATTACTATCTGACCAAAGCTATTCTTCTTACATATGATGTAAACTAAGTAACATTTTTAGCCATCAAAACCAGTATTGTCACACATCGCATCTGGCAACTTTCCACCACATGACACACCCAAAGCAATGACAGCCAAGTACACTTCTTTTCAGCTGGAAACAGCTCTCCAGTGTCAACAGGTACAGGAGAATTGGCTAGGGAAACAGACCTATGGTCACCACAAAGTTCATTTGGCATCTAGTTTTCAGATGGAGATAGATCTATTCAAGTCTGCCTTAGAGGTGGAGTGGACTGATAAATGAAACAAAACACTGTGTCTGTAACTGGCCACACAAAATAAAAACAGAATTTGGGCTATCAGGAGTGTATTTTATGGAAACATGGCCACATGGAGTATAGCGGCAGAGACCTTCGATGTGCCTTTGTAAACGTACATTTTTTAAAACATATGGGACAGAAAACTGGAATAACTGAAGTTTTAAATTTTATATAGATAAAGAAATAAGAAAATTACAGAAATGCAGGGCCCTTGGTTTTTCAGAGCTTCACATTTAAGTTGGGGCTCAAAATTAAATGGCTCAAGCTTCTCTGTGACACTAAAGCCAGAAATAAAAGCAAGGCCGGAATCCTGGTCAGGTGGAGATTATCTTGAGCAGGCCATTCACGTCTCTGGCCCGAAGCTCCCGTCCGTAGCCTGAGCTCCCCCACCACGCAGCACAGAGCTCGGGGCAGCAGCAGTGCCCAGTCCCACACGGGACACGAGGTGGGCCCATCACCAGCCTTCAGAAGGACATCACACACACCCTCAGTGCAGCCCAGTCCCCTGGGGCAGGACCGCTGCACTATGGCTCTCTCTTCACTTTCCTCACCATCCTCTTCATATTATTTTCTCAACAAGTAGAAAAATAAGCTATAAGTAGGCTGAAGTGGCAATAAAACATGCTCAAAGCTAACACTAAAACCATGATGCCCCTGAAAAAAATAAATCTACCTCCACACACTTTTTTGCAGTTGTTGTGCCTTCCTCAAGTGTTAAATGATAAAGCCCTAAAATGTTGACACTCAAGTCTACTCCTAATTTGGGATGCTTTCCAAGTATCACTACCAAAAACAAACAAGAATAAAATGAAAAAGCATCATTTTCAAGGGGGGAAACTGCCATGCCGTCCATCATCCTGAGCAGTCAGCTTTGCTAGCCAGTCCCAGAGGCTGTGGGATATCACCCCGCTGCCTGAAGAAGGTTCCAGCCTGTAACTCCTGAAGTAACATGCAGCCAGTTCTGGTCTGACGTTTGAAAGTCTGACATTAAACCAAAGAAGCTGCAGTTTTTCTCGCCATGGTCATTCATTCACTCATACATCACCATGTTACCAGCGAAACACTAAAATAAATTATCCCTTAAGAACTAAGACCTAACTCTAAAAACAAAATGGCCTTTCAAAACAGGCGTGTTTAAATAAAGTATTGCGAGAGTTTTATAAGGAAACTCCTCAAATGAGCCGGTGCCCCCAAATAGTCCACATGTTAGCTGAACAGCAGCCTAAAGCTTTCTCTGCAGTACTTCTATGTACTTATAAGCATTTTGTCACTACTTTCAAAAGAACTATTAAACCTATTACTAAAAATATTTGTGACAAACAGAAATGCCCTGCAAATCATATTATTGCACACGGGGTATCAGAAGCTATGCACGTCGAGGTTCCGAGGACTCTAGAAGACCCAGAACAGAGACCCCAGGGCCATGCCTGTGGCTGCCCCGGCCAGCATGCCCAGCGCCAGGTCACTGTCGTTGTCTCGATACCGCTCACGGATGATGACTTGGTTGGCAGGCTGCTGTCCATAGAGTCCTAGAAAGAAGGAAAGAACAGACTCTTGAGGAGCAGTTTGTGAAGTTCAACATTCACTCAGAAAGACATCTCACTTGCCTGAGGTTTCTCCATGCACAGCACTCCTCCCACAGACTCGTCTCCCTCAGAGAGCTGGGGGTGGGGGTGACCTCAGTGAGTGCTCCCCAGCTCCCTGGGACTCGGCTCGGCCGAGTGAGGCGGACACCCCATATCTAAGATGGAACTAAGAGAAAATCAAGGTGCTCAGTCTCCCAAGGTCCTCAGTCCCAGACACTACAGAGAGCCAAATCCTAATGAAGCTGCAAGCCCCAGCCCACAATGTCCGCTTCAGCCCCCACACTGTGTTCATCGGGACGGCAGCAGACCACGAGCACAGGACACGCACAGAGCCTGGAGACTACGGGAGAGCCAAGAAGCCTCATCCAGAAGTTAAACAGCTTCTTGGTATTCATGGAAACTGTTTTTAAATGAAACCTTAAATCTGCTAACATAATCTGCTCTTTATTTTTAATGTTATGCCTTTATGGAGAAAAATATTTGTCAGAAAGAAAACATCTAAAAAACAAACTTTAAACAAATTTAAAATTATTTGCACAATTAAAGTTCTCAATTGGAAATGTTTGTTTTCTTCCATATTTCACAATATGTTGTCCAAAAGCTAGGTAGCTTTAAAATTGTTCCCACAGGACTTCCCTGGTGGTGCAGAGGATAAGAATCTATCTGCCAATGCAGGGGACACAGGTTCGATCCCTGGACCAGGAGGATTTCACATACTGCAAAGCAGCTAAGCCCATGTGCCACAACCACTGAGCCCACATGCCCTAGAACCTGTGCTCTGCAACAAGAGAAGAGCCTCCAGTCTCTGCGACCAGAAAAAGCCCACATGCGACCACGAAGACCCAGCACAACTATAAATAAATTTCCTCACATACAGGGTTAACTTTCCTCCTTGACCCACTATTCTCTTAACAGTTCAACCCTAGGAAAATGAGAAATTGATCCAACAGTGATATGTCCATGAAGAATGAAGATACTAAAGGATAAGTGCTTACCAGTCTAAGCAATTACAGTATTACAAGCATCTCTATGTACAGACTCACTTAATCCTCACAACAACCCTAGGAGGTGAGCTTGCTGTCACCCGTGTTCTATAAACAGGCAAAGCGGGAGGCACCTGGGGCCTGAGCGCAGTGAGTGCACGCCAGCCCAGGTGCCCTGCCTACAGTGTGCACTCAGACACCAGTGCCCCCAATATGAAGGAAAGAGAAGCATCAAAGCCACAAAGTAGGAAAATGAGACCACTATAAACCTAAAGGTTTATCAAGCACAGGCAATAGCATTAGAAGCAAAGTTTTTTTTATGTAATATTTAAACTATATAACTGGTAAACTGTAGCATTCATAATCACAGCCTTAAAATTTTAAAAATCTCATCAACCAGTAAAATGTAATACAGTAGGACTCTGTAGCTGACCTAATTTAAAGACCCCTGGAAAATCTAAATCTGCATTCCAGCTTTAGCTCCACAGAAGGACCCCCTTACTGCATGACCAGGAGCCAACTTCTGCAGCTCACCTCTGTTCAGACCAAAAGCTAAGTCTTTACCAAAGTCAGCTGGGGAACATTTCCAAACTGTACTTATTTTAATTACCTAATTTAATCTTTACATAAATGATCCAAACATGAATGTAGAAAAGGAAGATATTGTTAGATATTTTAAGAACAACTAAGTCAGATACTTTTGGGCTTCCCTGGAGGCTTAGATGGTAAAGAATCCACCTGCAATGCGGGAGACCTGGATTAGATTCCTGGGTTGGGAAGATCCTGGAAAGACTAAACAAAGGCAGATAACTTTTGCAAATTACTATCAAACCAAGAAACTGAGAATTACAAAATCTAGAGGTGTTCTCTCATACTTGGCCCCTGGAAACTGCAGAGCAATAACGTGTCATGAATACCATCTGGACAAGACAGAAACAGAGGACTCCAACCAAAGGAGCCCACTCAAACCAAAGACTTTAAGCCCAGATTAAGAGACAACTGAACAAATGTCTGCTAATGTGGGAAAATTAAAACGGAATACTTGCAGTGTGTACATAGCACTTTTTAAATTGGCTGACTGACACCAGTTCCAGTAATATTAAAGAGAAGGCCTGTAACCTTCTCTGCGCAACAAGGACCCCTGTGGACACTGCCTGGCAGCATGTCATGAAGCTGGCAAAGCACCAGCGTCCTGGAAAGGCTGATGAAGGGCTCCTGTCTGGTTACCAGCACGATGCTGCTGTGGGACGACCACAGCGGGGCAGCCTTCCACAGCAAGCACACTGGCCGTGTGCACACAGCACTTCTGAAATTGGTTGGTAGGCATCTGGCTGTCATGAGGCAAGTGCCAAATGCCTACCAACTGCACTCGGCCCTCAGCAGCAAGTTGTCTGAGGTTGCACCAAGAATGCCGTCTCGTTGTTCATGATGAAATTCAAAGGCAGGAATGGAATTCTACGTATAGAAATTCCCTTCACAAGCACAAAACTTCTCTTTTACAGAGTAAGAAACAGCTAGGATTATCCCCATCTATGGCCTAGGGGGCTGAATAAAAGTCTGGCTCTGTAAATCCATGGCTGATTCACGTCAATGTATAACAAAAACCACTACAATGTTGTAAAGTAATTAGCCTCCAACTAATAAAAATAAATGAAAAAAAAAAAGATTAAAAAAAGAAAGAAAGAAAGAAAAGTCTGGCTCTCATCAGACAAATAGGCCAGGACTTAAAAACTGAACACAAACCCCAAAATAAATGGGAAAAAAATAATTAATACAAGGGAAAATTTAATTCATAAACAATTATACAATCTCTATCTCTGCCAGTGGTCAGAAATGTAAACTAGGGCAACCTGGTTCCATGTTAAGGCCTAATGAGGTTATCAGAACTTTCAGAGCACAAGAACAGCGGGCAATCTTGATGCAGCTGCAGAGGAACCAGCACATCAGCAATCCCAAGGGGCACTATAAGCTGGTGAACTACTCTGGGAAATACCTTAGTAAATGCATAGCATCAAGAGTTACTGTATTTTGGACTCTGTGGGAGAAGGCGAGGGTGGGATGTTTTGAGAGAACAGCATCGAAACATGTATATTATCTAGGGTGAAACAGATCACCAGCCCAGGTTGGGTGCATGAGACAAGTGCTCGGGCCTGGTGCACTGGGAAGACCCAGAGGGATGGGGTGGGGAGGGAGGTGGGAGGCGGGATCAGGATGGGGAATACTTGTAAATCCATGGCTGATTCACGTCAATGTATGACAAAAACCACTACAATACTGTAAAGTAATTAGCCTCCAACTAATAAAAATAAATGAAAAAAAAAGAGTTACTGTAATACTGTCAGATGAAATGAAATAAAGTATAAACTTCCCTCAAAACAATCCAGAGCTGGGGAAAAAAGGTACAGATGAAACAAGATGCTGTAACTGTTGAAACTGGTAACAGGTAAATTTAATAGCTCATTTACTGTCCTTACTGTAAACTTTTATAATTTTAAAATGTATCAAAAACAAAATGTTTATGCCCTTTGACATATTAACATACAGAAATCAGAAACATATTCTAAGACATATTTAATAGGAATAAAAAACAAACTGGTTAGAAACAATCAAAGCAATATCTATGACAGAAAAATTGAAAAGAAAAAGTAAACAGCCAATAAGTACTAGAAGACTTAATATTACCCCATATGATAGGATGCAATCATTAAAAATACTTACAAAGATTATGTAGCACTCTGGACAAAATATATGAAATTTTTAAATGAGAATGGAATGTAAAAAGTAATGTAATGCCATTAACAAAACAAAACATAATAAAGCAAACACGCTCCAAAAAAATATAAGATAACAAATATGAAACTATTATTTTACAAGAAGAAAATAATTAAACAAAAATAGCTGTGCTAGGATCAGAGGAGAGACAAATAGCTCACTTTTTAGTATCATTATTTCACTGATTTTCAACTTGACACACAAAAAAAATCAACCAAGGCAAAATTCTTCAGAGTCTACACTGCCTTAATGATCAGTATCAGATTCCCAAAACAGGTAACTGGAGAAACTCCCTATTAGGTGTTAATGCACCACTAACCACCACTAACGGTGAGTCTAGGGCCAGTCAAATCCAGACTCTGTGGCAACCCCACTGGCTTCTTTGTGGCATTAATATCAGTGACCACTCACTCTTCTGGTAACACTGTCCTTCCACTGCTTCTGCGAAAAGGCACTGTGCTATATTCCTGATCTCGCAGCACCCTCTGGGCTCTCATTCCAATCCATTCATCAATTCATTCTCCTGTGTGTCGCTGTGACATGCCATACTCACCGAGAACTGCACCTGCCTGACTTCACCTGCTCACTGGGGTCTGGGTATGGTCTCACACTTCAGGCCATCAGTCACAAAGCTCAGGTCACCCTTGCCCTGGCTGTAGGCTCCAGCACCATTGCCAGCATATTCCTGACCTCCACCCTACAGACGTCCCCCTGCCCAGGATACACCCAGGACTTGACGCTATCTCAGTTCAGTTCAGACGCTCAGTCGTGTCCGACTCTTTGAGACCCCATGGACTGCAGCAGCCAGGCTTCCCTGTCCATCACCAACTCCCAGAGATTGCTCAAACTCATGTCTATCAAATCGGTGATGTCATCCAACCATCTCATCTTCTGTAGTCCCCTTCTCCTCCTGCCCTCAATCTTTCCCAGCCTCAAGGTCTTTTCCAATGAATCAGTTCTTCGCATCAGGTGGCTAAAGTACTACAGCTTCAGCTTCAGTATCAGTCCTTCCGATGAATATTCAGGACTGATTTCCTCTGACGCTATCTACACAGGTCAGTCGCTCACACCTAACACTGTTTCAGGTTGAGATGAAAATGAAAGGAGTAAATATAAGCCTTTCCATGCCTCTACTTCATCTGCAAAATGAAACATCACCTCCGTAGTGATCATTTTTGAAAGCTAAAACCAGAAGGAAAAAAACAGGAGAAAGATTACCTCCTATTTCTTAAAATGGTACTCTTAGGTTATTTTTTAATGTAAGTGTATTTCAATAGGTACAAATTCTTATCTTGGGGATGAATCTGAATACAGCAGTGAAGTTTTAAAAATCAAGCCTACTCTAACTTTGTAAAGTAGTGTGAAAAGATATAATGCTTTCTTTTTTTTTTAAATAGCACAGTGACTTGTCATATATAACCAGAAAAATTACAGTTCACTTACCCCTAAACTGAGAAATAAAAATTCCTCAGGCTTCAGTGATCTACACACTAAATGAAGAGAAACCAGGAATGAAAGGCTGGCATGAGTTACCTGCATATGGGTACTGATAGGGTACAGCATACGCCTGTCCATTTGCAGCATAGACAACTTGAGTTCCTGGGGGGTATGCACCGCTGTATGGACCATAGCCATATGCCTGCTGAAAAAGATACAAGCCCGTTAGAAATAAAATTTTAAAATTCAACATCCATTTACAACAAAAACTCTCAACCAAGTGGTTATAAAGAGAACATACCTCAACATAAGAAAAGCTGTGTATGACAAGCCCATAGCTAGCATCAACACTCAATGGATGGTGAAAAGCTAAACAATTTCTCTAGGATCAGGAACAAGACAATGATGCCTACAGTACCCACTTTTATTCAACACACTATCAGAAAGCCAAGTCAGAGCCATTTAGACAAGAAAAGGAAATAAAAGGTATCCAAACTAGAAAGGAAAAAGTACTGAGTTAGCCAAAAAGTTTGCTGGGGTTTTTCTGTAAGATGGTATGGAAAAAAACCAAATGAACTTTTTGGCCAACCCAATAAAACTGTCAATACAGAAAACCCTAAAGACTCTATAAAAAAAACTGTAAGAATAAAATGAATTCAGTAAAGTTCCAGGGTACAAAACTAATAAACAGAAATCTGAATTTCAATACACTAGGAGCAAACTTTCAGAAAGAGAAATTAAGAAAATGATACTATGTACAATTGCATCAAAACAAATTATGATCTTCCCAACCCAGGGATCAAAACAGGGTCTCCTGCACTGCAGGCAGATTCTTTACCATCTAACACACCATGGAAGCCCATGATAAACATATTACTATATATAAAATAGATAATCAACAAGGACCTACTGTATAGCACTGGGAACTCTACCCAAAACTCTGTAATAACCTATAAGGAAAAAGAACCTGAAAAATAATAGACATACATATATGTACAGATGAATCAGTTTGTTGTACACTTGAAACTAATACAATACTTTAAATCAAGTATGTTGTTGTTCAGCTGCTCAGTCATGTCCAACTCTTGCCATCGCATGGACTGCAGCACGCCAGGCTTCCCTGTCCTATCTCCTGGAGTTTGCTCAGATTCATGTCCACTGGAGTCGGTGATGTGGTCCAATCAGCTCATCCTCTGTTGCCTCCTTCTCCTCCTGCCCTCAATCTTTCCCAGCATCAGTGTTATTCCAATGAGTCAGCTCTTCTCATCAGGTGGCCAAAGTATTGGAACTTCAGCTTCTGTCGTTCCAATGAATATTCAGGGTTAATTTCCTTTAGGATTGACTGGTTTGATCTCCTTGCTGTCCCAAGACACTCTCAAGAGTCTTCTCCAACACCACAGTGCAAAAGCATCAATTCTTCAGCACTCAGCCTTCTTTATGGTCCAACTCTCACACCCTACATAACTACTTGAAACACCATAGCTTTGACTATATAGACCTTTGTCTGCAAAGTGATGTCTCTGCTTTTTAATACACTGTATAGGTTTGTCATAGCTTTTCTTCCAAGGAGCAAGCGTCTTTTGTGGCTGCTGTCACCATCCACAGTGATTTTGGAGCATGAGAAAATAAAACCTGTAACTGTTTCCACTTTTTCCCCTTCTGTTTCCCATGAAGTGATGGGACCGAATGCCATGATCTTTTGAATGTTTTGAATATTGAGTTTTAAGCCAGNTGCATGAAATTGGTATCTCCCAATTTTCTTAAAGAAATCTCTAGTCTTTGCCATTCTGTTGTTTTCCTCTATTTCTTCACACTGTTTACTTAAGAAGGTCTTTTTATCTCTCCTTGCTGTTCTCTGGAACTCTACATTCAACTGGGAATATCTTTCCCTTTCTCATTTGCCTTTTGCTTGTCTTCTTTCCCAGCTGTTTGCAAGGCATCCTCAGACAACCACTTTGCCTTCTTGCATTTCTTCTTCTTTGGGATGGTTTTGGTCACCATCTCCTATTCAATGTTACAAACTTCCATTCACAGTTCTTCAGGCACCCTGTTTACCAGATCTAATCCCTTGAATCTATTCACCACAGCCACTATATAATCATAAGGGCTTTGATTTAGGTCATACTTGAATGGTCTAGTGGTTTTCCCTACTTTCTTCAATTTAAGTCTGAATTCTTCAGTAAGGAACTTACAATCTGAGCCACAGTCAGCTCCGGGTCTTGTTTTTGCTGACTGTAAGAAGTTCTACATCTTTGGCTGCAAAGAACATTATCGATCTAATTTCAGTACTGACCATCTAGTGATGTCCACATGTAGAGTTATCTCCTGTGTTGTTGGAAGAGGGTGTTTGCTATGACTAGCGCGTTCTCTTGGCAAAACTCAACCTTTGCCCTGCTTCTTTTTGTACTCCAAGCCAAACTTGCCTATTACTCCAGGCATCTCTTGACTTCCTACCTTTGCATTCCAATCCTCTATGATGAAAAGAACACTTTTCAGGTGTTAGTTCTAGAAGGTCTTGTAGGTCTTCATAAAACCAGTCAACCTCAGCTTCTTTGGCTTTAGTGGCTGGGGCACAGATTGGATTACTGTGACGTTGAATGGTTTGCCTTGGAAATAGACGGTGATCATTCTGTCATTTTTGAGACTGCAACCAAGTATTTCATTCTGAACTCTTTTGTTGACTATAAGGGCTAGTCCACTTCTTCTAAGGGATTCTTGAGCATAGTAGATACAATGGTCATCTGAATTAAATTCACCCATTTCCATCCATTTTAGTTCACTGATTCCTAAAATACTGATCTTTACTCTTGGTATCTCCTTCTTGACCATGTCCAATTTACCTTGATGCAAGAACCTAACATTCCAGGCTCCTATGCAACACTGCTCTTTACAGCATTGGATTTTACTTTCACCACCAGACACACCCACAGGTGAGCCTCATTCCCTTTTTGGACAAGCTACTTCATTCTCTCTGGACCTACTTCTCCACTCTTTCCCAGTACCATATTGGATACCTACTGACCTGGGAGGCTCATCTTCTGGTGTCATATCTTTTTGCCTTTTCATTCTGTTCATGGGCTTCTCAAGGCAAGAATACTTCAGGGGTTTGCCATTCCCTTCTCCAGTAGATCACGTTTTATCAGAACTCACCACCATGACCCATCTATCCATCACAGCATGGCTCACAATTTCACCAAGTTACACAAGGCTGTGATCCCTGTGATCATTTTGGTTAGCTTTCTGTGACTGTGGTTTTCATTCTAGAGGTGGTGGGATTATACTCAAGTATATGCTATATGCTAATATAAGTACACTTGATATCTAAGTATATCAAGTATACTCTAATATAAAATGAAAATTATAAAACAAAACAAAAAAGCAATAAAATGCCTAGGATAAATTTAACCAAGGAGGTGAAGGGCCTGTATACTGAAAACTATACAACAGTGATGAAAGATATTGAAAATACAAATAAATGAAAATATATTCCAAGCTAATGGATTGGAAGAATTATTAAATGCCCATACTATCCAAAATAATCTACAGATTCAATGCAATTCCTATCAAATTTCCAATGGCATTTTTTGTAGCAACAGAATAATTCTATAATTTGTATGGAACTACAAAAGACCCGGGGAGAAGTAAATGGCAACCCACTCCAGTATTCTTGCCTGGAAAATCCCAAACATAGCCAAAGAAAGGAGAATAGAGCTGAAGGTATCATGCTTCCAGATTTCAAACTAAACTACAAAGTAATCACAACAGTATGGTATTGGCATAAAAACAGACACAGAATCTGTGTGGAACAGGGGAGCCCAGATACAAACCCACATATATATGGTAAATTAACTTACTGCAAGGAGCCAAGAATATACAAAACAATGGGGAAAGGAGTCTCTTCAATAAATGGTGCTGACAAAGTTAAGACAGCCATATGCAAAAGAATGAAATTTGACCATACATGGTATCTTATACCATACACAAAACTTGACTCAAAATGGATTAAAGATATAAGATCTGAAACCCTAAAACTCCTAGAAAAAATCATAGGTGATAAGCTCCTCAACACTGGTTACAGTGATGAGTTTTTTGGATCTGATTCCAAAATCAAAGGCAACAAAAGCAAAAATAAGTGTGAAACTACATCAAACTAAAAAGCTCCTGAACAACAAAGGAAATCGTCAACAAAATAAAAAGGCAAGTTATCAAATGGGAGAAAATATTCATAAATCATGTAATCTGATAAGAAGTTAATATCTAAAGTATCAATATATAAGGAACACATACAACTTAAAGGCAAAAAACAATCTGATTAAAAAACAGACCAAAGAACTAAATAGACATCTTCCCAAAGAAGAAATACAGATGGCTAACAACCACATGAAAAGACATTCAGCGTCACTAATCATCAGGAAAATGCAAATTAAAACCAAAATGAGTATCACCTCACACTTGTTAGAATGACTATTATTAAAAAGACAAAAAATAACAACTGCTGACAAGGATGTGAAGAAAAGGGAACCCTCATACACAATCATGATAAGATTTTATCTTGTCTGGCGCCTCCTGTATCTAAAACAATAATGGAAGGGAGTTCCTCAAAAAATTAAGAATACAATTATCAGTTGATCCAGCAATTCCACTTTGGAGTATTTATTCAAAGGAAAAAAAAAACACTAACACAAAAAGGTATCTGTATCCCCATGTTCACTGCAGCATTATTTACAATAGCTAAGATACAGAAACAATGTAAAGTGTCCATCAATTTACAAACATAAAGAAAATGCGGTCCAAATATGCAATGGAATATTATTCTACCATTAAAAAAGGACATCTTGTCTTTTTTGCCTGCATGGATAGACCCTGAGTTTTTGAAAGAAGTCAAAGACAAATACCATACAATCTCATCTGTATGTGGAATCTATATTTAAAACAGCAACAACAAAAAAAGTTCACAGATACAGAGAACAGACTGGTAGCTGGCAAAGAGGAGGGAGAACCACAACAGTGGGGTTGCAGGGTGGACAGGGGATGAACAAGTTGGGTAAGGGAATCAAAGCACACAAACTTCCAGTCATGAAATAAATAAGCCCTGGGGATACAATGCACACCATGGTGGCCACAGCCTATACTACTATATTGCATGTTTGAAAGTTGCTAAGAGAGTAGATCTTAAAAGTTCTCAACATTTAAGAAAACAGTTCT